CTGGCCCCGGGTGCTGGCCCCGGTCCGGGGGTGCTGGTCCCAGGGAGAATGCGCTGGCCCGCGGTGCTGGCCCCAGGGAGGATGCAGCAGCCACCGCCCGGGGGTGCAGCCCCAGGGTGCTGCCCGGGGAGGATGCGCTGGCCCCTGGCAGGGGTGCCGGGGCTGGGGCTGCACCCCGCAGCCCGGGGGAGCTGCCCATCTCCAGCCATGGCCCTCGGGGTGCTACCGGGGGGCCCAGACCCGGGGGGATGCTGGAGATGGAGCTGGGGTGGCCCCAGAGAGGGACCGTGGCAGGAGCACTGGCTGCGGGTGCCCAGGGGCGTGGGTGCCAGCGGGAGTGCCACACGCCGGTGCCAGTGTGCGTGTAAGGTCCCTCAGCAGTGGTGTGACATGTAGCCGTGTGACACACAGCGTCCCTTGCCTGGGTAGTGGCAGCCAAGATTTCACAAACACAGCACGAGCATCCCTGGGGACAGGGTAGGAAACTGTCACCGAGCAGGGAAACGTCCCTTGCCTGCATCTGTGTGAGTGGGGTGCCAGCACAGGCGTTGGCGTGGGATCCGATTGGCATCCAACCCACTGGTGTGTGTGCCTGTCCCGGTGTTGTGGCGTGTTTCCCTGGCCAAGGCACAGCTGCCGGAGCAGTGTCGGTGCTGGAGCCCGGCTTTTAGGGACTGGAGATGCGCAGGGTCCCCGCGCACGCCAGGGGCTTGGGTGCTGCCGGCACAGGGGCAAGGTGAGATTTTGCTCAGGCTCCAGCCGCAAAGCCGGAGCATTTATTGCAAAGCTCCCGAGTATTTCCCTGGAGCGAGGGCTCCCCATCCCAGCAGGAAGATTTCATGGGGGGAGGATGGCACTCAGGCAGCGGGTGAGAGACTGGAGGAAAGGCCATGTCCCCTCTGGCTGCGAGCGAGCAAAAACCATGGCTGGGTGAAACCAAATAACATCAACCCCCAAAAACTTGCTGAGCTTCCCTCCGGGAAGATGGGTGGGCTCCGAGCTGGTGGAGGCAGTTTTGCCCCCCGTGATCCGGGGGTCCCCCACCGGGGCCAGGGGCTCCCCTGTATCCAGCGCCGTCCTGAGCAGCAGCGCCGGCCACATCCTGGCCAGGGCGGTGAGCGGGGACGGGAAGTTGCTCAGAGCTTTGGGCCTGGTTTTTCTTTTTCTTCCCCTTTTATTGGAGCCAGATGTCATGTCCGCAGTGGTGAAGCTTGGGGTGGGCTGCCTTGGCTGCCTTCCCCCCCTGCTGTGCGCGTGCCTATCTGTCTGTCTGTCTGTCCCCATCTGGCAGCGAGCAGCGGCCCCGCTGCCGTTTGTGTGCGGCAGCTGCCTGTCAAAAGCATTTCCCTCTCCTCCGAGGAGCTCATGGCGGGTCTCCGGAATGGCAAGACGCGCTCCGCTCGCCCGCCCACGCCTCGCCGGCACTGGAGGCAGGCAGGCAGGCAGAGAGGGAGGCAGGCAGGCAGGGAGAGCAGGCAGGGAGAGCCTCGGCAGCCGCATGCTGGGGGAACTGACTCGGGCTTGAATTTTCATGCCCAAACAAGCTCCAAACTGCCGCTTTTTGGCAAAAGGCTCTGGTGGCACCGAGGGCGCAATGGTTTCCCCGCCGGCTCTTGGCCCGTGCCGAGGACCCGGCAACTTAATGTCTTTCATCTCCTCCCGTTGCATTTAATTCTTGCAAGAGTGCAAACTGCTAATTGCTCTCCAGCGGCTCGGCCGGCTTCGGTGCTTCTCAATGAGCTGTGATTTATTGGAGCCCGCCAGTCCCCGGGAGCTTGGGATGCGGCAGGAGGGGCTGGGAACCTCCTTTCCCTGCCCTGCTGGGCTCCGCGTCGGGCTCCGGGGGATCTCTCGGCTCTGCATCACTCTTTGCTGTCGGCATCTCCTGAAAGCTTTTTCGGAGACTACAAGAGATTTGAGTCCCAAGTCTGCAGTGAAGTTCCCAGAGATATCCCAAAAATGCACATGGATGAATGATGTGGATCTTTATTTTTTTTTTTACTGGATGAATTGTTCAGCATGGGGGCTCTAAAATAGCCCCTGTAACAGTCGCTCTCGGGAAACCAGAGCAAGCTGCAGTCACTTTGCTCCGGGTGCCACCATGTCCCCGGCAAGGGACTTTTGATCTGCAGTGGTAATTGGGATAATTAGGAAATGCAAATGCTCCCCCTTCTCCCTGAGTGTCTGAGCAGAGACCCAGCTAGCGGAGAGAAGTCGGGTTCCCTCACCAGTGGAGCTGCTCTAGTTTTATCTTTAATGGGAGTCCCTGGCAGTAACTGAGCCGTGCTGGGATCGACAGCCTTCAGCTGGGGAGCCTTTTGTAACATCCCTGTGATGAAATCCCGTAGGTAAAATTTTCTTAACGAGTTCAATGGCCTCTCAGCACTGCCCACAAGCAGAGCGGTTTTACTGGGCTGCCCCACAGCATGCCCTGAGTTTGCAGGTCTCTGCTCAGCTGTGTCCTGGGGGAGAGAGGGGAGGGCTTTGGGTCGCAGCACCCATCAACCAGCCCTCAAAAGCCTTTGGGTTTCCACTGCCTCCCATCCCCAGAGCTGCTGAGCCCCAGGGAGGGGGACAGCAAGGCACAGGGGGCCCTGGGCCCCTGCTTGCCTTCTCCGGGCAAAAGGCCACGGCCAGCAGCGGCGGCGGCGCCTCCCCGGCGCGGCGTCCACCCGTCCTGTGCTCCTGCACATATTTTCCCGGTGAGGCATTGAGCGTGAACTTAACGGGCGCGGGCTGGTAAAACGAGCCGCAGTGGTGGAGGGGAAGCGGTTCTCTCCTGGTAGCTGCAGCCACCGGCGGGGAGGCTCCGGGTGCTGCCAGCGGCTTGCTGCGTGCCGGTGATGGAGGGTGAGCGGGGGCCCTGCCCTTGCCGGGGAGCATGGCTGCCTGCGGTGTGGTCATGTCCTTGCAGGCAGCTGAGGACAGGGGGAGACCAATTTGGGGGTATTCATGGGGTGCAGCCATGCTGTGGAAGGGAGGGAGGGGGGCACGGACCAGGCAGACCCCGCTGACCCCAGCCTGCGGCCGTGGGAGGACGAGATGGAAACGTGGCTGGCAGCGGGTGGCCGGCTCCCCGCAGGGCCCGGGGGCTTTGCACGGGGAGCTGGGGGGAGGATGGGGGAGAGGAGGAGGCAGCAGGGGGTGGTGAGCCCCAGGCTCTGCATCTTCTGCTCCGCCAGAGGCTCCCCCGCACCCCCCCCCCTCACCCG